GGGCGTTGGACAGTCAGAAAATCCCGACCAGAACACCGAGGACTACCTATTTCGAGGTTACTACTTCTACTGATTTCTTTCCTGTTGACAATGTTATCTCCTTCACACACCCTCCTATCTCATATATACTTTTACATCGCGCGCACTGCCGCCTCCTAACCCATTGCCTCTACTACTCCTGCTCTGCATTTAGTTATTCTCAACAACCCGATTCGCTATCCTCGGTCTGTGTCTGTACAAACGACGAACATACTCCAGCGATTCCTGAACAAGGTTCGTTACAAGCCTTTCTTGCTGCTTGTTTTCGCCAATTCTGTTGTTGTTGTTGTTGTTGTTTGCACACCATACTGTGAACTTCTTCAACCAGCTACTGTACCATCCATACCAAAAGGAACCATTGGCGTACAGTTGTCGTGTAATTTTTGCCTGACTGCCCTGACCCGCTATGAGTAGATATTACCAATTAAATTTCGCACGAATTCTGACGCAATAGCTGCCATTTCGCGTTGATAAACGGCGTACGCTGAAGTGACGATGTTGTGTGGCTGGCGCAAGACGTCCGCAACAAACACCTTACCGATAATGGCTAGTAACCCATATTCATTCATTTTAATCGTCAAATCAGAGAAATGCTAAAGGACATTGTCGCCAGCAGAATGTACTATTTGCTTCTTTAAATTGGGTTACGATTTATTAAAACACCGCTTTCTGGTAACCTCCTCTTTTTCCTTCACTGCACAGTAGATTGCCTGAAATGTCAACTTAAATTCTGAAATTTTTAGTTCACTTAATTTTTTATGGAGGGCAATATATGCGAACGCCTGGCCACAAAATGTCTACGGAGGGTCGTCGATAAATAAGAAAAACTGAAAGAGGTTGTTTTTAAACTTACATGCGGAAAGCCAGCAGCCAACGGCCAGTGGAAAAATATGTTACATAAAACACTACTAGCATATATTGAGTAGCTTAAGCAAACACGATAAAACAGTAATTGCTTGTATGGTTCAATGAGTGGCTAATATACGAGAAGCCTACTGCATGCCGAAATTTGCACTGGTAAGGTATTTCATTTAACGCCGGATCGGTTAAATGTGTTAATAAGTACTTAGGCCGAGAGAGTAAGACCAGTTAAGCCTGACGGCTCCTCCACACCCTCTAGCATCAAGGTTGAACTTCGTATTACTCCTTTTTGCTGTCACGATAGATGTTTATAGCCGGTCATGTAGCAGGGCTCTACAGTCCGACAAGTTTCCCGCCTGCCCTGCTTTACACAATCCTGTGTCCCTTGTGCTTTGATTTGGCTGTTCTTTATTTTTACAGGACCCGATGGAGCGTTTGGGTTGCCCACCTCATTCAAGCTTTGCTGATATACAAAACCAGCCCCTGTTCCGTTCCATTGACTGGGTCGCTCTGGAGCAGAAGCGCGTCGTGCCACCCTATCGGCCTGAAATGGCGGGCGACCGCGACCTCATTCACTTCGATCCAACCTTCACTAACGAGCCTCTCATCTTTACTCCGGATAATCCGTAAGTTGCGCTCTCTTAGCACTTTGCTTTTATCATGCTGTGTTTCCTTTGCATTGCTTCCGTGTTACAGCTTAGGAGGAGGAGGAAGAGGAGAACATTTTTGTCTACCGCACCGCGTTCACTTCAGATGGCTTATTTTCCTGGCTTGACTGAACACAAATAATTATAGAAGACGAAGACGTTTCGATCACTGGAATCATAATTTTATTCTTCTGAGCTTTTGGGCTCTTGTGGAGTCCATCGTCAGAGATAAACCGTCAACAAAAATCGCGGAACAGTTTTAGGGGGCAGGATCCGATCAACCGTTATAGGGGGGAACTCAGTTCGTGATAACTAATTATTGCAAGGAAGTTGAACGCGCGATCTTTGGCACAGTATGTGCATTGCTTTGAACTTGCTCTGGTCCTATACAGGGTGTTATTGCAGGGGGGAGGTGGATATGTTTGCAAATTTCTAGTCAAGTACGCAGTCTTCCATCAATTTCCGGACGTCTTATTGCTGGTTCGTGCCATTTTCAGCGTACTCGCGAAGTTAAATTCGCAGCCTTCCTCCACGTAGTTCATTTATGCTCCATTTTTCCCGATCTAAGTCGTCGTTCGGTCTGCTTTGTGTACTGGCAAATTGTGCTCCTCCCTGTCGTTGTGGTTAA